GGGATGACATTTCCCGCCACCCCAGGGATGACAGAAATGGTGCGGGGCCCCCAGTCGTGTTCTTTAAGAATTCTTGGGCCCCCCACTTCATGCGTCAGGGAAGGACCACCGTGGGGGTTTTAGTGGGTAAAAATCCCACATAACCACGCACCCTCCCCCAAGGGTGCCGGGTATCTTTGGAAGATTTCCCCCACGTAAAAAAAAAAAAAAAAAAAAAATTAAAAAAAAAAAAAAAAAAAGTGTGTTCCACAGGTAAGTATTTAAATGATTTAACAATAAGTGTAATTACGTTATGCACTGTATGAAAATTGGTGAAAATAAAGAAAAATTTATCAACAATCACTGTGTATTTATTGTTACCTAACATACCCAACGGAATAAAAATTTACACATGCGAAATAGAGAATTTGTATCAAGAGAACATGAGAATTCCCGGAATTTGACGTCACGAAAATTCCAAGAAGTGGCACGAAGGATACCTCCTCGCAGCTTATACGAAAATTCCAAGAAGTGGCACGAGGGATACCTCCTCGCAGCTTATGTTCTCCTGATACAAATTCTCAAAATCGGTCGGTGGAATTTCAAAAATCGCGCCGCGGAATTCTTGGAATTTGACGTCACGAAAATTCCAAGAAGTGGCACGAGGGATACCTCCTCGCAGCTTATGTTCTCCTGATACAAATTCTCAAAATCGGTCGGTGGAATTTCAAAAATCGCGCCGCGGAATTCTTGGAATTTGACGTCACGAAAATTCCAAGAAGTGGCACGAGGGATACCTCCTCGCAGCTTATGTTCTCCTGATACAAATTCTCAAAATCGGTCGGTGGAATTTCAAAAATCGCGCCGCGGAATTCTTGGAATTTGACGTCACGAAAATTCCAAGAAGTGGCACGAGGGATACCTCCTCGCAGCTTATGTTCTCCTGATACAAATTCTCAAAATCGGTCGGTGGAATTTCAAAAATCGCGCCGCGGAATTCTTGGAATTTGACGTCACGAAAATTCCAAGAAGTGGCACGAGGGATACCTCCTCGCAGCTTATGTTCTCCTGATACAAATTCTCAAAATCGGTCGGTGGAATTTCAAAAATCGCGCCGCGGAATTCTTGGAATTTGACGTCACGAAAATTCCAAGAAGTGGCACGAGGGATACCTCCTCGCAGCTTATGTTCTCCTGATACAAATTCTCAAAATCGGTCGGTGGAATTTCAAAAATCGCGCCGCGGAATTCTTGGAATTTGACGTCACGAAAATTCCAAGAAGTGGCACGAGGGATACCTCCTCGCAGCTTATGTTCTCCTGATACAAATTCTCAAAATCGGTCGGTGGAATTTCAAAAATCGCGCCGCGGAATTCTTGGAATTTGACGTCACGAAAATTCCAAGAAGTGGCACGAGGGATACCTCCTCGCAGCTTATGTTCTCCTGATACAAATTCTCAAAATCGGTCGGTGGAATTTCAAAAATCGCGCCGCGGAATTCTTGGAATTTGACGTCACGAAAATTCCAAGAAGTGGCACGAGGGATACCTCCTCGCAGCTTATGTTCTCCTGATACAAATTCTCAAAATCGGTCGGTGGAATTTCAAAAATCGCGCCGCGGAATTCTTGGAATTTGACGTCACGAAAATTCCAAGAAGTGGCACGAGGGATACCTCCTCGCAGCTTATGTTCTCCTGATACAAATTCTCAAAATCGGTCGGTGGAATTTCAAAAATCGCGCCGCGGAATTCTTGGAATTTGACGTCACGAAAATTCCAAGAAGTGGCACGAGGGATACCTCCTCGCAGCTTATGTTCTCCTGATACAAATTCTCAAAATCGGTCGGTGGAATTTCAAAAATCGCGCCGCGGAATTCTTGGAATTTGACGTCACGAAAATTCCAAGAAGTGGCACGAGGGATACCTCCTCGCAGCTTATGTTCTCCTGATACAAATTCTCAAAATCGGTCGGTGGAATTTCAAAAATCGCGCCGCGGAATTCTTGGAATTTGACGTCACGAAAATTCCAAGAAGTGGCACGAGGGATACCTCCTCGCAGCTTATGTTCTCCTGATACAAATTCTCAAAATCGGTCGGTGGAATTTCAAAAATCGCGCCGCGGAATTCTTGGAATTTGACGTCACGAAAATTCCAAGAAGTGGCACGAGGGATACCTCCTCGCAGCTTATGTTCTCCTGATACAAATTCTCAAAATCGGTCGGTGGAATTTCAAAAATCGCGCCGCGGAATTCTTGGAATTTGACGTCACGAAAATTCCAAGAAGTGGCACGAGGGATACCTCCTCGCAGCTTATGTTCTCCTGATACAAATTCTCAAAATCGGTCGGTGGAATTTCAAAAATCGCGCCGGGGAATTTTTGGAATTTGACGTCACGAAAATTGCACGAAACACAAAAAATACTTCATCATAATGCATTTTCCTGGTGCAAATATTAGCAATATCAATATTTTGTTTTTTATTGTTTATTTTTTAATATTTGGAGCAATTTGTGGGGATCGGAATGATGGGATTTATAAATAAGTAAATATGTAAATGCATGTTTTTATTCATATTTATTTTCAAACACTTTTTTACATCAAATGACAATATATTTTATGAATAGATAGATACATTACTAACACCTAATTCTAGAACGTAATTGTCATAAAAATATGTACATATTAGGGTGCGCCGTACTACAGGATCTTGTAAAAAGCAGAATACACAAATCAAACGATTGCTTTTTTGGGCCGTATTAAATGTCGTTCACATTAGGCTATTTTGACAGGCACTTGCCTAATCTGAGCGCCCCTTTATGCAGGTTCGACGCAGCGCCATCTAATAGTGACACGCGGAACTGCAATAGAAACTTCGCTGATGGTATATTACCGTTGATGTGTAATCTATTAATTACCGACAGAATTCGGTTGGTACTTTGCACGTGCTCGTAATAGTTCAGAAGTTTGTTGTTAGATGGCACTCTTAACAGCATTTGTGGCGGCTTTTTTAAATGATTATTATATTCTTTGTATAAAATTGACTGTGCATGTCATTTTTTTACGGTTTAGGACTGCGCAGGGGGTCAAGGTTAACTAATTAATTCCCTGTGCATAGCACGGGGCGTTCCACTAGTTTCAAATAAAATCAAAGTCCACTCATTCTATGAAGAAATATAATGTACATATATTTTTAAAATTTAATGTACTTATATTTATAGACATGTTTATTTATTTATTACAGTTCATTAGATGGTGTATTTTCATAAGATTTTTCTTTTACTGCTTCATTTTCTTTAAAGCAATATTTCTGAGAAAAATCTTGATGTGCTAGAAGTGCCACATTTCTTCCACTTATTGCACTCATTTCCATTGCACTAGCAACCCATTCAATAGCATTCACATGATAAAGTGCATTGTGTAGTTTAAATTTTGCTTCTTGGATTTTTGTTGAATATTCTGGATATGCCTTCCAATTGACTTGTTTTACTTCTTTGACCTTAAATAATGAATTAATTTTTCATGATATTTGATACAACTTCACATTAATAATTTGTACGAATGTTACCAATTAATCTTACATTTGAAAACATTTCATTTATAATTTGTGTTTTCAATGGTTGATTGCTGAATATTTTCCAAATTTTGCTATTTTTTAATGTACCTTCCACAGAATTTAATCTTCCTACAGAGCTAATTATTGTTTTATTTGGATCACAACTTAAAATAGCATCTAACTCTTCCTGTAGACCAAAGTAATATGGTTTCAAATTTGCTTTGACAAATGTCGCTATAGTTTCATGATATTGTCCAGTACTATAAAAATCATTATTTGGAAATCCTTCAAAAGTTATAGGAAATTTCTGATCATGGGTAAGTGGAGTTGCAATAATTACAATATCATACGTTGATTTCATTATCACTGTACTATCTGAAATAAATTTCCTAAATCATTTTATATATTATTAGCTAGTATATTACTTTTATTACCTTCATTGCGATATTGCACTTCATATAGATTTTTAGTATCATTTGTTAATATATTAACAATTTTCATGACACGTGATGGTACAACATTTACATTTTTATTTCTGTATATTAAATGCTCTGGTACCTAAGACATGTAAATACTATTAATTCTTGTACAAGAATATATTTTCATACATATATATTTTCATACAATTTACAAAAAAGACCTTTTTGTTTCCACCTTTGACAGACCAGAAGTTGGAACCTGCTCCAGCTAAAGAAACAAAGCCAACAAAACTATGAACATTTATGTCTTGTCCATAATTTACTACTAATGTGGTCTGAACAATTTCATCAATTAATTTTTCTGAGTATCCCAAATTTAAAAGTTCACTTTTAATAGATACTTGTAAGGATTTTGGAAATTCTGCATTCATAGCCGATAATAGACTAGTGATATTCATGAAGGTAAATCCAGCATCCTGTAGATCGTATACTTTTTCAAAGTTATTTAATATAGAACTTATATATCTGTTTAAAATTGATAAAATTTATTATTATGATATGCGATAAATATAAATTTATAGTTATAATCACACTTTAAAAAGTAAATGGTGCAATATTTTAAGAAATACATAATATACCTGTTAAGACTAAGCAGCTGAATACCGTACTTATAAATTAATTTAACCAAAGTTATTGTTTCCCATTTACTTTCTTCAAATACTATTTCATTACCATTCCAAATGCTTGTTCTTTGATCATTATTTGATCTATGTTCTAAACCTAAGGAAAGAAATATTTTAATCACAGCAAACATTTATAAAACAAACATTTGTAATATTGTATTAAATAGGATACCAAGCAATTTAACAAATTCTTGCATATATTTATTTTGCGAATGTATAATTGAACCGCCAGCTTCGAATTCGTTATCGTCAATTTTGACAGTAGCTAAACGTCCCCCAATAGTGTTTACTTCATATAAATCGATATTAAGATCATTTTTAAATAATTCTGTAAGAAAATGTGAACTTGCTGCACCACCAATACCGCCACCAATGATCGCTAAAAAATTTAAAGTTATAAATTAAGAGTCATAAAACATTCACATCAAATTAACCTGTATTAGCCATATAAATGTTCATCATATATTTCAATAAGTACGTCCTTTTACTTGCCTACATTAGGTTTACAATTTTCAAAACCAGCTCCTTGTTTAAAAATAAACATAAATAACAAAATTAAGGTTTGATACATATTTTCGGACTAGTATGTACAATATTTTACATATACAAATACAATAGCATACACAATATTATTTTTGAAAAAATATATAACCTGTTCGACTGTGTCTATTGGACATAATTGGTTCGAGCATGCTGGTAACCAAGAGCAACGCGCATGTGCATTTACAACGTTCACGATACTAAATTCATATACCCAGTGATCTTTTATTTTATCAGTTCTCCGCCGTATTTACCTATTTTTGTCCACCACGTATATTATCGTAAGTATTATGATGAACATTTTCTTACAATTACCGATTCGACATGTTTTCCTCTCAAAATTCAAACGTGTGGTTCATTATATTCTGAAGCTGAGGTTCGGATATCTTCATGGAAGTTTCTAAAAAGGTTTTTATAAACGGTGAAAAGATAGACGAACATTTTAAAAACAAATTTATTATTAAATGTACATCTTTATCTGATAACGGAGTATACGCGAATTACTCGCTTAAATACTACCTGTACAAAAACACGAAAACTCATCTTTGTTCGTGGACGATAACGTTTGAATCTCTTAAGCGTTTCGTTACGTAATCATACATTGTGTACAAGTAAAAAATATAAAAATCTTCGTTGTTAATTTTTTATGATATACGCGTTAATGTCCGCATTTATACATGACAAACACGCAGTTTAAAAAAATGAGAGTAAATAAATTAAGCAAAGAGAGGAAGACAATTCGCGATAACGTTAAATAGAATACAATGAATGAAATGTCTTTAACAAATAAATAACGATCCGCTTTTACGAACGACAGGCACGTTCTCGTTCGTCCGTGAAATCTATCATTATTAGAACGTAATCCCGTTGTTCTGGAAAATCCAAAGCACTTAATCCAATTAAAACATAAGCTCTCGACGATCCTCGAAAGCGAGCATCGATTCTGGTGTCTCGGTTAATCGACAATTAACGCGAATACAAGTTTTAAGCCGCAACGATTTCGAGTATGGCATTGCCGGTTGTCGGTTCAGGCGTGCTACTCCTTCGTCATAAATTGCATGGATAAATGATGTCGAACTGGCTAGAACTGACCGGCAACACATTTCGCTCGTTAGTTTATCGTCGGTGACCACGAATCGTCGCGATCGAGTATTTCGTGTTTTAACGGCTCCGTTTCGAGCGTATTCAGCAGCAATGAACCAAAGGGGCTGTTTCTCTTTTATCTACAAAAGCGCGAAACGCGACCAGGTGCAAGTGTGCTGCCCACGAGCAACCGCACCCCCCGCCACGATCGAGCCTGCTAAAGCGTTCGTGAATTGTGAGTCTGCGAGTAAGTCGTTTAAATGTATTTCTCCACTCGTGATAAAGAAAACGGAGGCACCATGAATAAACGTACAACTATGTATATGTGCTGATGTATATGTGTATTAGCGGACAACGATGTTTGTCGCGTCCGAGGGTTAAGTACTTTTACACGATCAAACTTCTATGACTTTCGAGAAAGTTACGTATAAAAGGAGGAGGGACATTGATTCGATGTTCGCGTTCGTCAATCAATCACTCGTATGTTTCGGCACGATGATCGTGTGTTGATATTGGAGGTGGAATTCAAATATATGCAAGTACGTTCGAATTGAGCTAAACAGTTTCGAACTGTTTATCAGTACTTTAAGAGAGAAGAATGATTATCGGTAATCGTGTTATTGCTGCACCAGGCAGCATTGATTGATGATAGATATGAAATATACTTTCAGTCAGGCAGCTAAGAGTGTGCTTTCCCAACCTACATTGATTCACTAGCGTTTTTACGAAATTATTTTTGTAAAATATTTTGAATTTCATAAAGTGAAACTTTTGTATCGCAATTGATTTGTTTTTAATATGGTAGATTCTCGTCATACTACTTTCGCTGCGCTAGTGACGCTCTCTAGCATCGTAGAATTATATTAAAGAAGAAACCTTGTTGACCAACCTAATGTATTACCAGCTGTACCAATCTTTACTAACCGATCAATGACAACATCGTATATTGAACTTGCTTCCATCTCCAATAACCGCAAACACGAGTGAATCTCAATGAGTGAGGTTTACGCGTTGAAATTTCGCGGTGAGCAAATAAATAGTGAACGGAATCGTTAAATTCGATCTAGAAAAAAAAATAAGAAAGAAAAACAAAAAACGACGCAACCTGGCGCGCGTGTTTCGCAAGGGTGAATGGAAATACCGAATGGAACGCTTTTTACCGCCAGAGTTACGTCGAGAATCTCTTTGACACCTCTCCCGTCTTCCTTGACACTAATCTCTACGAATATTACTTTTTTTTTCTGCTTTCTTTCTTCTCTTCTACGCGTTACGCAATAACTATACGCTTCCTTGTCTTTCTCGTGGTTGTTTTTCTTCATTCTAATTACTGCACTCGAAAAGCCGACAAGGATAAGAACGAAAGCAACATGCTCCAATTACGGGCACGAATTTTCTCCCTAACTAAGGCCACTTTAGGAACCTGGATTCGATCCCGTTAAGCGAAACGTTTCAGTGTCGGTCTGGCTCGGGGAGCAGCCATGATCATCTGAATCGAACGGATCGAGTTTCCTTAAACAGCGTTTCTCTAATGATCACCGATCGATCGTCTCACGGTGAAAGGTCTTCGCTGCATATTGTCTCGCAGATTCCACCGCGCGTTATAATCTTCGTATTTTACCCCAACACTCCCGCGTTAATGTCTCGTTAAAATGTAACGACTATTTCTACATTATTTACAGAGTTACAAATATTAGTAACATTTGCGCGTACCTACATAATTTATACGGATGCTTTATGCTCTGTGAATGATGTTGCTTGATCGAAATCGCCAGATTGAACAAGTTTGATGGACACGAGTTAGAGACGTAAAGCATCCGGGACTTAATAAATATCGACTGTTGCCAACGTACTTGTGCAGAGATGACAAGATGGCTAGCGGGATAAGGACAGGGGCACAAGCGCGGAGAACATTTGGGCAAATAACGAAAATGCATGAGTATCTCTAGGATTGAGTTAGAGAAGGGGGAGTCAACGGCTATATTCAATCTCACCTGTATTTCTTCCGCTAGATCAGTAATGGGCATGTGAGCTCGTGAGCGTTCAGACTTTTGAAGATTTAAAAACTCGACAATTTTTAATTTCTATACCTCTACATTTCTCAATTTAAAAATTTGGAAATTTGTTATTGAAAATTTATAAACTGCAAAATTTTAAATCACTAAATTTAAAAATTCGGAAACATAAAAGTTGAAGAACTTGATCTGCCCATCACTGCGCTAGCCAACGAGTCATCTCTGCACAGTAAAGTCGTATTCGTCGTTCGGGAACGATCGTTATCACGGCACCAAGAACTCTATATCGATTATGTCTGATTAAAAAGGATCACTCGTGCTACTGTCCGTTGTCTGTGCACCTCATTCTCGAGGACCACAACTCTTCAGCTGTTTGTTATATTTCTCTCGCTGAGAAACGCTTTTCGACGAACGACCCGACGAAAGGAAGAAATTACGAAATGATTTCGCTACAGCATACCGTGACTACTTTACAGGAATACGCTAATAATATTGTATATGCTTTGGACCGCCTCGATTTCGACCTTTTTCAAGATCAGTGAAACGAGTCCAGCGATAGCGAAGGTGGTGTTATTGGCGGTAGATGGTCTCCGCATCTTGGGAAATTGGGCGGTATTGGTGGAAGATCAGCGTGTGTTCCAACGTGCAGTATCAGGTTCATTCCGATCAGTATGTGGAACAGGAAGTGACAATGGAATAACCAGTATCCTGAAAAAAGTAGAAAATGATAATTACGTTGATCGACGATCATTGAGTAAAGTAGACTAACGTTATATTGCCGTTGGCAACGTTCGAATGTTAACTTAAGCACTTGAGAATTTATTTCATTCTACAAGCTTGAATTTTTATTTAAAATTATTAAGTGCCTAATTTTAATTATAACTTGCAACACCGATACTTTCATACTTTTAGGTTATGATTGTTTCAGAATTGTCACTCAATGAATAAGTAATAAATAATATTTTCTACAGAGCTGCACACAATGTTGCATCGTTCATTTGCTTACCAGGATTATCCGCACGGAACCGGAAGATGACATAGCCATTGTTTGGAACAGCAATGGTGTCCTTGGCAGGTGGAAGATTGAACTGTCGATTGAGGAGACCTCTCTTGTCGAGATCCAACGCATGTTTCAAATTAATCTTCTTCACATTCTTGTCTGGTGAACGGCCGATACCGATTACGTTGAACGCATAACCGTGCAAGTGGAACGGATGCGAAAGATTCGGTTGTTGAACTGTAAAAGAGGTCACCGAAATATGACGTGTTAACACATTAAGACGTTCACTGCCAAATGCTCGTTACAGACTGTAGCATAAAAAGTTTTTATTTCCATGTCCGTACAAAAAGACTGTACTATATCGCGGTAACGCCATGAAGTCAATTAGCAACTTGGTAATATATCAAGTATGAATAGTTTGAAAATATATTAACTTGTACATTTGAAAATTGACTAAAGTGAGAATAATGGAAAAACATTACTAATGTACGTGAAACTATATGCGATATACAGAAGAGGTAATACAGTAAGATTGCACTCTGTTTAGTAACTTCAGGTCTCTCAGCTAACTCTCATAATTTCTAATACCTACACTTATTACATGTGAGCATACCTAAAAAATTTGCCACTTAGTGCCTCTATTAATTATGCAGAATTTGTTCTTTACGAGAGCTATCGTACCTTCATCGACGAGAACCACTTCGACGACGGCGTTGTGCGGGATATCAACTTGGTGGGTGCACATACAGTTAGCGCCGCAGTCCGCAGGTCTATTATCCCCGTTGCAAAATTGTTCAGGCGGGATGTCGTCGATTTGCGAAAGCGGAGGTGCCGGCGGAAACGTGAACGAGATTTCATCCACAAGAGAGATTACATGATCTCCGGTCGGTGCGACTGCAAACACACGCAGCATCGAAATGACAGACGCTTGAATTCCGATATTAAATAGATTCAATGATATAAATGACGCATTGCGTCACGCCGAGCCGGGAAAAAGAAGCTATCCTCCGAAAGAAATGAATCGATCATGATCGAAGGTTTTGAAATCGCTGTCTCTTACCTAAGAATCGATTATACGTTTGCGGCTGGAAGACTTCTTCTGGCCTGTAGAAGAGGAAACGGAATGGCAAGAATATTTTCACGTCCGGCCGCTGTTGGAGAATTCCTTGGTCGATTTGACGAGCGTTCTTCAATTGGTTCACGCAGATTGCGTCTTCGCGTTCGCGATTACAAATCGCGTCCAGGGGATTCAGTACCTAAAGAAACGTCAATTAGTAACATGAAACACAGGAGAATTTCACATGGGCAAGGCGAATAATTAATATGTTTTTGTGCTATTTAGATTGCGAACTTACTGACCTATAGGGTCTAAAAAACGAGGATATCGGGACATAGGGATCTGAGATATAGGATTTAAGGATAGATGACGATATTGGGATATAGCGATCAAGGCTTATTAGGATTCAGTGATATATGTTGCTAATGTCAATTAACGACTAATGGTCTCGTCAACCTCGTATATCTGTTACGTTATATTTCTTCGGAGTGTTGATCTAACAAAAACCTACTAAACATGAGTAGCTTTAGAAAATGGTCTACAATGCCGTATTAAGTAGGTAGAAATGTTGTAACTCTACTTACTACTCCCTGCGGAAGACCAAAATCGTAAGTTGGTGCCGTAGACGTCGGTTGGTAAGGGCCACGGGCATAGCGCAATATGCCCAGCTGTTGGGCACGCGGAATACCGCACTCTCCAAGGGAGCGAACTTGGATCCAATACGCGCCGACTGGTTGATCCGCGTTTATAACGAAATCGTATCGTTCACCTGTAAATCATTGAAACGGTATTTCACTTTTACGACGAGTAATTAAAACAGCTTTCCCTCGGTGTTATAACGGTACTAGGTGGAAAGGAATAGTCGGCTGGAAAGAACATTTTTACCGGAGAACGAGATAATGGTGTCCACGCTGACCGGTTGCACAGCTTCGCCATCGGTCGCGATGATGGTCAGCGAGTGACCTTCGAACGTGATCTGGGATGGACAAACTGACCCGAACGAGTTGATTAACCGGAAACGATAACGCCGTCCCGGAGTTATGGTAAACACTTCCAACGGTGTGTTCGTCATGAAACCGGTATTGGGATCCTGTAGACAAAATTACGATCCTATAATGATACGATCTTTAATGTCTGCAATAAATGAAAATTAAATGGTCCATGACTCTTTTACGGCTAACTTCGAGGCTGATCAAAGTGGTTATTATGCTCTTTATTGATATGGACCATGCTATGTTTACCACTTTATACCGTATCGTTCATGATGGCTATTTCCAGAGACTGTCAGGACCGGTACATATTAGTATCAAGTTAATAGGCATGATTTATATACTTCTACATGATGAAGCTACTATATGACGTAGTATACAAACATGAGCACATGTCATAATATGTTAGTATCACGTTTGCATCATGTCATGCCATCCTAGTATCATGTTCGTATCATATACTTTGTCGGCATCATGTATGTACCATGTTAGATCATGTTGGCGTCATGTATACACATCGCTCTAGTATCTTGTTCATATCATGTCCTGTCATGTTGTCGTGTATCATATTAAGTGATATCGATGTATGTATCCTTGTGTCATGTATGTTACTTTGTTTCTAATAGACTACACGATATAAATTTCCCTTACAACTCTGGTATAAATAAACATCCACAGTACTGATATGTAAATGATATGTAAGTCATAACCGAGGTGTAAGTCCTTTTTCTTAGAAAGAGAGAAATCACCGAAAAAACTCGACCGAGTTTCAGTCGTACCCTAAATTGTCCTTTTCCGTTGATCAGCACACTTTCAGGCGCTTGACCCGTGTTAACTGCGAGACGTCCAGGGAAACGTTCGGCCGCGTTTTCATGGAACCAATCGCTAAGAAGTACAACGTGGGTAGTCAAGTCATAATCATAAAGATGACTGTTAGGATCTTTGCTCGGTGGTTGACGCACAACGATGCTACCATAGAGACCGTCTATCTTTTGTAAACCAGTGTGAGCGTGCCAGAAATGTGTTCCTTCGTTTCCTGCCAACCATTGGTATCTATAAACAGACAATCATCATTACAGTTTATAAGAAACAAATGCTAAATAATTATTACATACTAAACGAGATGAATACTAAGTAGATCCAAATAATATCAAACGAAATAATATTAAACTATAATACTATAATAAATAACTAGTACCTGAAGGTGCTACCCTCTTGAATTGGACACTGTGTCACAAATGGTACACCATCATAGTATTGAGATCCTCTCTGCCATATACCGTGCCAGTGAATGGTAACTTCCATACCTTCGATATGATTTTCCACATCGATCACCACTTTGTCACCTTGACATACTTGGATACTGGGTCCAGGTACCATTCTGTTCGCCGTTAGAATTCCTCTTTCAACACCATCCGCAAGAACACACTGACAGTCGCTCCACACGACGTTAGTAGCGTTAGGGGTGCAGATTTGACAAGCGCTGTAAAACATGACAAATTAATATTCAACTTGGGACTTTGAGATTTGGAGATTGTGGAGTTTCGGGGCTATGAGATTTCAGCACTTTACAAATTTGGGATTGTGGGATTTGGGGAACTTGAAATCTCGGGTCTGTGAAATTTCGAAATTTTGTAATTTTAGAACTTTGAGATTTTGGGATTACGAGACTTCGGGAGTTTGGGACTTCGGGAGTTTGGGACTTCGGGAGTTTGGGACTTCAGGTCTACAGTATTTCGGAACTTAAAAATTTCACAACCATGCAATTTGAGACTTTGGAACTTCAAAGTTTTCTTTGACTTTACAAACTTTCTCCAGATAATCAAAAGTTAACAATTTTTGACCAAAGAACACTTACGCTCCAAGGACCATATAATATTCGAGGGTGAAGTGATAATAGCATATCCTGGGTGGTTCATTTTCTCGGCAAGCTCTTGCGCACTCATCAGGGGAGGATAATGCTGGGTTTCGTCGAAGTTCAGCGGTAGCTCGTTCACTGTAGTCGAGTGGTCTCGTTCTTGGTGGTCGAACAGTTACCCCTCGACTACCCAAGTTGTCGATACCACCGAATCCACTTCGAAACACATTTCCGGTCGGGTGAGTTTGGACCAGACCATGTCCGGTGGGGAAGAAGTTTGCGGCTTCATCGAAGATGTTGCTTGTCTTGATGGTGGGAGTCCAGAAGGAAGATGCCGCTGTCTGATCAGTGGCTAAGTCTGTAAACAAAGAAATCGTCCGTCATTTCTACCAATTTTATTAACGTTAAATTCATAGGATATATCAAATAAAATTGCTGCTAATTGATACGAGTAAGATATTAATCACGGCGTAAAAATGAACATGTTCAATTTTACCTGCCACTATGTTTCATATTAGTAGTTTATATTTTACTAATTGCATTTTACAAAATGAATAAATTTATGCGAAATAAATCATACAATCATAATTCTATTAGTAATTTGTTATTAGGTGTAAAAAGGAACGTAAATTTAGAAATATGAAATCATTAGAGTGTAAACAATGATTCTATATGCGTAGCCAGTTAATGCTCCAGAAAATTTATAATCTACAGCTAGAATCATCGTTGGGGGTCTAAAACGTTGGTTCTTTAATTACTGCAATAATATGGAAGATATATTTGTTTATACCCTTGATAGTTGAAGCAATAATATGGTGGGAAACATTGTAACGCTGATTGTATTAAATTCAGTTAATTACTCGAGAATGATCGATGCACCGCCTTATATATCATAGAATACTATTCGCGCTATCTTAAGTAAATTACTTAAATACCACGTTTCGCAGTAACAGAGTGTAATTTCAAATTAACATTATTTCAGCGTTCACATTGCGAAGCGAGATGGAACGGAGATGGTCTAGGAAAGCTATACGCGTGGCAAAACATTTGAGAAGTTTTCACCGTTTCTCCCGACCTGCATGAAAACCATACTCAACGTGCGGATACATGGCTCTGGAAAAAAATGACCGCGATTGAGATATGGGACTTCAGGTCTACAGTATTTCGGAACTTAAAAATTTCACAACCATGCAATTTGAGACTTTGGAACTTCAAAGTTTTCTTTGACTTTACAAACTTTCTCCAGATAATCAAAAGTTAACAATTTTTGACCAAAGAACACTTACGCTCCAAGGACCATATAATATTCGAGGGTGAAGTGATAATAGCATATCCTGGGTGGTTCATTTTCTCGGCAAGCTCTTGCGCACTCATCAGGGGAGGATAATGCTGGGTTTCGTCGAAGTTCAGCGGTAGCTCGTTCACTGTAGTCGAGTGGTCTCGTTCTTGGTGGTCGAACAGTTACCCCTCGACTACCCAAGTTGTCGATACCACCGAATCCACTTCGAAACACATTTCCGGTCGGGTGAGTTTGGACCAGACCATGTCCGGTGGGGAAGAAGTTTGCGGCTTCATCGAAGATGTTGCTTGTCTTGATGGTGGGAGTCCAGAAGGAAGATGCCGCTGTCTGATCAGTGGCTAAGTCTGTAAACAAAGAAATCGTCCGTCATTTCTACCAATTTTATTAACGTTAAATTCATAGGATATATCAAATAAAATTGCTGCTAATTGATACGAGTAAGATATTAATCACGGCGTAAAAATGAACATGTTCAATTTTACCTGCCACTATGTTTCATATTAGTAGTTTATATTTTACTAATTGCATTTTACAAAATGAATAAATTTATGCGAAATAAATCATACAATCATAATTCTATTAGTAATTTGTTATTAGGTGTAAAAAGGAACGTAAATTTAGAAATATGAAATCATTAGAGTGTAAACAATGATTCTATATGCGTAGCCAGTTAATGCTCCAGAAAATTTATAATCTACAGCTAGAATCATCGTTGGGGGTCTAAAACGTTGGTTCTTTAATTACTGCAATAATATGGAAGATATATTTGTTTATACCCTTGATAGTTGAAGCAATAATATGGTGGGAAACATTGTAACGCTGATTGTATTAAATTCAGTTAATTACTCGAGAATGATCGATGCACCGCCTTATATATCATAGAATACTATTCGCGCTATCTTAAGTAAATTACTTAAATACCACGTTTCGCAGTAACAGAGTGTAATTTCAAATTAACATTATTTCAGCGTTCACATTGCGAAGCGAGATGGAACGGAGATGGTCTAGGAAAGCTATACGCGTGGCAAAACATTTGAGAAGTTTTCACCGTTTCTCCCGACCTGCATGAAAACCATACTCAACGTGCGGATACATGGCTCTGGAAAAAAATGACCGCGATTGAAACGCGTTTGCGAGTCTTAATATGCATTCATAGATGCAAAAAATGACTATTTATCTCGGTCGAGATAGTTTCTGAATAAAAGTCAACCAGGGAACTCGATCCAACCGCAGAAACTGAAGAAACTCGGTGACTGAACACAAAGCAATCTTCGGGTTTCGAATGATTTCCTATCTCGTATTGTGTTGGCGGTATTCTAGAATCTGTTTTGTGTCGTTCTCCAAATTTTTCATTTTTTTACACTCTTGAATTTTCAAACTTTCTGCTCATCAAGTTTCTAATTTTCTAAATACTTCATCCAAATTTAAAGCTAACGAATGATCAATTTTTCAAATTGAAAAACTACCAAATTTTTTTAACACATTGTGAGGTGGCTACATTTTTAAGTTCTCAATATTTGTTTAAATCGTCAGGTTGCCTTTCCAAATATAGAATCTAAAAATTGATGAATCTTGAAACACTCGATTTCTCATTTTTAAGTGAACAATATCTCATCTTGAAACTTTCAATTTCTCCTTTCCAAACTTTCAATTTTTCATTTCCGCACATTCAGTGTTTCAAGCATTCTCGCGTTTCTAAATTTTCAAATGTCGTAACACGGTAATTTTCGAATTCATACAGCGAAAATCGGCTTGCGAAATTGACGAATTCTTTAATTCCCCGTAAGTTCGTAGACGTTTTAAGAAAGGCGTGGATGAAGTCCGAGGAACAGAACCATACACGGAAGGTACGTTGCCTCCCATCAATATTCCGCCTGGTTGATGGTTTCTCAATTAGAACGCCACGCAATTCGAAATTCCTGACCTACGTACAGATTTTTTCAACCGTCTCGAGCGAACGTGAATTTTTCCGCAAGCCGAAGAACCAGTTCCTAAAGCGTTCAACCGTACGCAGAAAATTGTCAGACTTTTGCTCGTTTATTCGCGCGAGCGACAATGGAAATAATTTTTAACGCAAGATCACTTTCACGAGATTTACGAGGATGTAATCTGCAATGGCGTCGCGAAACGTTTGGGCTAATTTCTCGACGAGGTTTTTGAAGAAAACGCAAAATCGGAAATACTTTTTGGGGAATAATGACAAACTTTTTTCGTTGGGAGAAAATTAAAGATTTTTTGAAGAATGACAATAAATTTTCTTCGTTGGGAGGAAATAGAAGATTGTTAATTTTGTAGGAGAATAATAGTAAAGCTACTATGTATGATTCCATTGATATTATTTATGCAACTTATTACTATTAACGTAATTTAAATTATAAATATCAAAACGTAATGTCTATCATCTTTTTAACATTCATCTTTCATTTTCGACAAATCTTAGTTTTAGATTAGGTTGAAAGATGCATTTGTATTATTTACTTGTTACATTGGGTGCTTGTTTATTTATTAACGTATGAATATGTTTTTAATAGAGGTTATCATTAAAAAAATAACACAGTCAGTCAAAACGGCTGGTCTCAGTTTCCATATTTTATATTACAAAAATTGTGTCTACAAATATTGTTGAAATGTCTGACATATTGTTGACATAAATAATTGTACACATCAGTTAATCAGTATTTATCTTTCCATCGTATTCTTAAATTTAAAGTGTGCATTTAACGTCAATAGTTCTATCATTAATAATCTGAGTACAATAACGATATTATCTCGAAGAGGTTTCCATTAGATGATATACGAGATAAAGGTATTATTTTAAAGTTGAGATGGTGTACATTCAATACGGACGCTTCGATCAAGAATAAAAATTATTGCTTTTCAAAAAATACAAAAGAATTTTACACGTGTCAAGTTTGAAGCTTTAATTGGATCGAAAATGGAAGAACGTCGGAACGAAATTGCAACGCGAATTTGTTTTATAATTGTATATTCTTGGCACGCGAAATTAACGCGTTGTTTTCACAACGCGTTATTCAGTAGAGCATCGCGATAATTAAGGGGAAAATACCGAGCGAAGAAATGTGAAAATCTGTAACGCGACCGTCAAATTGATAGTATTTTGTTCGCGTAGTTCTCATTCTTAACCATGCTTGCAATTGTAATCCCATAGCCGTCATAATTAATGAGTTAATCGCTCTTTGTGCTACCAGCAATTATTCTATTGAGTAATGACACGGTCGCAGCTCAATTTCAAGCACAATTGTTTCTTCCTTCTCTCTCCTCCAGAGAGAACTCAAAGTAATTCTTCCAACAATTGTTCAGCGACGGGATTGTTGCCTATTTTCTGAGGATTCTGAAGACACTTCTGTGGATAATTTACTTTTTTTTATTCATTGTTGAAAATTTGGAATTTCACTCTTGAAGCTGGAACTTAGTTCATTAGTGTCGTGCATTACGAGATTTTTAAAGTATTATCTTTAAATTAAAAATTTTTTTTAATTTTTTAAATGTTAACATTTTTTTTTTAATTTAAAAATTCATGAAATTTCAAAGTTTCAAAGTCACAATCCCAAAATTTCAGTTTATAAACTAGGAGCATCACTTAAATAAATATTAAAAGTATTTATATGTGATATTTACTTGTGATATTTTGTATTGTAAATTTGCTATTCTATTATGTATATTTATTAAAAAATTATAAAGTTGGTAAATCAGTCTATATTGCAAGGCTCCATACAACTGTTACCCTTTGTTTCATGCGGTATGCGTAATAGTTGACGAAACGAGGCGTTAAATAAGGATTACTTTACTACTTTAATCGCCATGTACAACCATGAATTACTTAAAGGGTTATAATATTGTAATTTACCATTCTATTCGTTCGCATGCCACGCTATCTACGTTCGCGAGTAGCATAGGCGAGCATTATTTACAACCCAGCATCGAAGCAACATCGTAACAAAAAAGTTTTTCACGAATGAATTATATCGTTTGCTTGGTATGCGAATATTTTTTATCGATCAGGTTATTCGAACACCTATAAAGCTTTCAAGCAGCGTACAAACGACTTGAAAGCTCCTATTTGTCAGACGCGTGTCGTGACATTTGTAACAAATGTAGCGAGATTATATTCATAAGCTAACTGAAGTATGAAGTTTCAAGGTGTTAGTGGATAAACGAATATTATACTTAAATTTTCTGATATTATTTTTGAACACATTTATAGATTTTAAGTTTATAAATTTCATCATTTAAAAATTTCTAATTCCTAATTTTCTGAATTTCATAATTCTAAAATTTCTAATTCCTAATTTTTTAAATTCCTAATGTTTCTGAACCTTGTAATTTCTATTCCATAACTATTAAAATGTTATGTTTCACAAACTGCTATGATTTCTAAATAGCAGTTTCTAAATTTCAATTTCCACATCTTTTTGTTCCCACACTCATAAAGTTCTAAATAATTTCTAAATTCCTAAATTTTCAAGTCTTCAAATTTTTAAATTCCTATATTCCCGAATTTCCAAATTTCCAATTGCTCAAATTCCCAAATTCAAAAACCTTAAAATTTCCAAATTTCCAACTTGAAAATTGTCCAATCTTCCAAGTCCTCATCTTTCAAAATTTCCACACTTCCTGCATCTCTAAATCCCAAGTGAACGATATTCAATAAACGCAAGAAACAAACTGTGTCAACATCTTGAAAGGTATTTTAATAATTTGTATATAAAACCAATAGCGGTCGAATTAAACGGATACGGTGTAAAGTTGGTAAAGTTGGTTTTCCCTAGTGGCAATTTCATAAACCGCCCGATTACCTAACCAGCTCGCAAGAAAGGGATGCGGATTACAGTTTATTGTGGTCAGAGATAGTCGCTAATTTCTAAAACTCACTTCTATCCGCTACAGACAACTTTGTACCAGTCTGTCGATAACTCCTGCAATTCAGCACAAACTTTACTTCCTTTACTCAGTATTGTTGCGTAGCTAGGAAGTCATTAGCAAACGAGATAATTGCGTATCGTAAATCCGTATTTGGCAGACGCGAAGAAAAAGAATCATGCAAACTGTAACACATTAACAGTTCTCATTCTACAACGGACGTAATAACGCGGAGTTTGGCAAAGGTTTGTAACAATTTCGCGAAAGAACGCTGCGTATACTAACGTAAAAGTAGATCGTTCGATTGTTCTGTATCGCAAATGGCAACGCAAAAATAATAGAAGTAGATATACGAGGACATTTATGAGAGGTACAAGTAGAAAGCGTGAATAAATTCGTGCGGTCAGGCATCGAAAGACGTTCCAAAAACAAAGTTGCAATCGAATGGAAAGTGTGATCCCTT